ACAGCAGGAGGGTGTATGGTTTATTAATAAAGATCAAAGGATTGTGTTGATATATCTGGGGTTGAAAAGAGACACACAGGATTGTGCACCTAGGGGACAAGCTGACAGCATCTTTGTCTCATGAAAAATTGTTGTATCCCCACTGGCTTCAGGGCATCATTTGAAAATCTGAGGCTAACTGTATTGTCATGAAATATAGGACTATCATTCTATATATTATATAGAAATTTCCATTGGGGGCAGGTATTTTTGTTTTGACTGGGTTTTCTTCCCTTGGGTCTTTGTACTCTTTGTGCTAGAAGAGGTGAGCATGCAAGTGTCTTTTACATCACATCTTGCAAGACATTTTCACAATCATACATGCATAGTCCATGCAATATTTGAGTTATCTGCAGGCAATTTTTGTCTCTACAATGATGGTCTAACTGAATGTCCAGTTGCTGACACTCTCTTACTAAAAATAATGATAATACCGTTGTAAGACAGAAGTTTTAAAAAAAGCAAAAGATGATTTAGTAGCTTGTAGGTTGCTATAGGTCACCTACATTTACACATCATGAATCACACAAGCATGTTTTCATACATATTCATAGATATTTTAATCATCTTCATGTTTGTTTAGACTCATGCAAAAAGTTTTTTAAAAAACCACATAAATCACATCATGTGCTCACCTAGACTCTGTGCAGCACCTGTCACATGGGGCCCTCGTGCTACTGGCATACAAACAAATATTATATATGGAAGGTGCAGGGTACAGCTCAAAACATTTTCCTACTGTTTTATTGATAGGTCAGATAATACTTGTTTAGAACAAGTATTAACTATTCCTATATACTAATGGGGAATATTACTAGAAGCAGTAGTATCTTATTTATCAGTAAAAAAAAAAGTTAAACTACAACCAATTTACAGTGCAATCTGTCAATACGAGCCATCAAAGAGCTTGTTATTATTCTGACTTTTATAATAGGTGGCTGCATAATCAAGTATAATTAATAAAGAGAAACCTTCTCTCAGGGACTTGGATTTTACTGGCTGATAGACCAGGATAAGCAGCCACAATTAGCAGAGGTTTCACTGTATTTAAAGCTGATTGGATGATATTATTTTAATAAATTATTTGAATTTGGGGGAAATATATTGAATAAACTATTACAGACCTGAATATTCATATTTCACAAGTTTTTCTAATAAAATATTTGTGAATAGTTTCCCCATCTGTAATGGTGTGATCATGATTCATAGATTCCAAGGCCAGAATGGACAATTGTGATCATCTAGTTTGACCTCCTGTATCACACGGGGCATAGAACTGCCCCTAAATAACTCTTAGAGCATACATTTTACACAAACATCCAATCTTGATTTAAAAGTTGACAGTGATGGAAAGTCCACTGTGACCCTTGAAAAATTGTTTTGATGGTTAATTATTCTCACTGTTGAAAATTTACATCTGGTTTTCAATCTGAATTTGTCTAGCTTCAATTTCCAGCCATTGGAATGTGTTATACTCTTCTCTGCTAGAGTGAAGAGCCCACTACTAAATTTTTGTTCTCCTTGTACGTATGGCTAATTACTCTCACTTAAAAATGTATGTCTTATTTCCAGTCGGATATAGGGGTCATCTCTACAGGAGCAGGATAATGATACTGAGGAAGGACTATGTTGTGGTGAAAGCGCTGGACTGGGCATTAGAACACCTCAGTTCTATTCTAGACTGTGCTACATACATCCTGTGTGATTTTGGGCAAGTCACTTAATTGCTCTGTGCCACATCTCAAAAATTGAGAAAATACTTCCTTTGTCTGTTAAGAATATAAGTTCTTTAATGCAGGGATTGTCTCTTACTATTTTTATCTCAGTGTCTACCACAATGGTTGGGGTTCCAGCAGTATAATAATAGTGCTCTGTACTTTTGTTGGGTGCTGATTGCCCTCGATCTTTGCTAAGTTAAATGGAGTTTGAGTGTGCTTAGCATTGACTATCTAGTCCCCAGACTTTAACTACATATGCACGAACCCCTTCTCTACCTATGGAAAAAGACATTAGGGGGAAAATATATAGTCACATTTTAAATAAGTTATACACAATGAAAAAGATATATAATGTTCTTTAGAAAAGTTGTTGAAGAAACAAAATAATCTTTATAATGCAATAAGGTGCTCTAAATTGAAATTGTATTTATGGAGTGTTTATCTCCTGTATGCCTTTCTAAGGATTCCATAATATTATCTACTCTCACATCCAGGTGTTAGCAAGTGACATCAACAAATCACAGCACTTTCAAGTCAGAGTGAATGCAATAGGCTCTCAACTCTGAAGAAAAAAAAGAGAGAACATTACAGTACTGTGCATTTAATTGAAATCAATTGACAATCAAGAGGCATGATAAACAGTAATTAAAAAGAGTAGCTGGCTGCTATGAAGATTTTCATAAATTATTTTTCATACAGTCAAAATCTGGAATCTGAGGCTGTGGCTTTAATATAGACATCCCATAGAAACTCAGAGGTGTAGGAAACCTTTTACAGTTATCCAGTGTTGTTCTACCTGTGAGGCATCCAGATGAATTTATGTCTACTGTACATACTTCCCTTCTAAAGGAAAAATCTCTGGCACTGTTATTTATAGCCAGTAGTAACAAGTACATTTGTTCCTGTTGCTTTAACTAGTTGCTCTCATACTTTAATTAAACTGTTTCAATACTCATTTTATGTAAAAATCTAAAATGGATCTCTAGAAAATTTGACAGATAGTGTTTTGAAGGTTAATATCAGGTATCTGGTGTGAATCCTATATTAGCATTCTCTACAGCTTCCAGAGACAACTTACCGTTGTCTTTTTAAATATTCAGGTACACTCAGCGCCAGCTACACTCAAAAGAAACCAGTAAAGTATTAATTTACTCAATCTCAAAAGTTGTCTGAAATGCTACCTTTGCACGAACTGCAAATCCAGTTTTTATTTGTCTATACTTTCCACACTTTCAATTATTTATTTCATGTGTTCTCTCTCAAATGCACTCTTTCAGTAGATACTTCCCCCTGCTGGGAAAAGATCAAATTGCAGGGTGCAAGAAATACGCCCCTTTGAGCAATAAGGAATTTAGGTTCATCATCTGCAAATTAGTATACCAAAGGTAAAAACTATTGTGATTATCTCTGCAGCAGCAAGATAGGTATTATAAGTATACTAAATGTGTGTCATTATTCATGCTGGACTTCCCATTATCAGAGAGAAGCACTCTGAAAAATCTAGATTCATTAACTTTATTCTCAGTCAATAAACCATGTATTTAAGAAAGACAATATGAAGGCTGCTGACCTAAGAATTGTTTTAAGTGCTAGCATAAAAAGTTTTAAATGCTTATGAATTTGCTTAAAGACATATGGAACTTTGGAAAATTATTCACTTTCCTAGATTTTAGGGTAGTTTACATTTGTGATGTAATATTTTTATGAACTCATTACAGGTTTCTTTGTCTTAGTTTCATTTCAGATTTGGATACAGAATTTTGATTTATGCTTCATTGTCACTACTTCTCTTTTACATCTGTATCCAATTTAGACAATCTTTTAAAGAATCAACAACATACACAAGAAAAACCAACAGAAAGCATAAGGAGACTTTAACTGATTGTACTACTTCTGTACTTGAAGTCCTGTACAATAAGGCCTGTAGTCAATAACTAACAATATAGTGTAGTAAGAAAGATAAAGTTTTTAAAGTCTTCCTAATTAAGTAATTTAGCTGTCTCAAAATGTAGTTAAATCACAAGCACTGATGATATAATGAAGACCAATTTGTGTCAAGACAATTCTTTAGATCACAGTACAAACCTAAGAGAAATGCATCAAGTCCTTATTGAAATGATGTCATGAAATTGATATGCCATATCCAGTGAATATACAAAACAGAAAAGTCAACTGACAAAATGCTGCATTATACATATAGTAGTGGATTTAGCTGTTATCATATAAACCAAAACATGATACTTAAACATGAAAAACAAGATGTAATGAGTTTAATGAGAACCTAGCATCTGTCTTTGTGTAAATAAAATCAGGAACCATATAAAAGCCCTACCTAAAGAACCTACCCAATTGCAATACCTCATTTGCTCAATGAAATAAATCATTTTAATTACAAATCATGACAAGACAGGCATTTCCAGTACTGAAAAATAAAATATACATTTTTACTATATACAAATACAATTCTCAAAGCTGATATTTGCTAAATTAATGTTATAAATTACTCCATACAATGGCTAGCAGGAGCTAGTCGTGAACAAGCTTGGAAACTATTGCTAATAGAGCCGGGGGACAATATGCATCTCCCTATATAATAAATGTTCTCTGCCTTACTACAACAAACATATAAAACACAATCCATACTTTGCAAAGCAACTGATCGTTGATTATTTCCATGTACAGTAGACACAAGAGAGGGAATAACATCTTCCATAGTGTTTCATCGTCAGCGATGAAATTCTGATTTCCTTTCTAGTATTCAATATTTCTACAGAAACCTGTGAGTGACGTGCTTAAACAGCAGCTCTGCACTTGAGAAAGGCTGCAGAAATACAGACTATATAGTTCCTATACACACACTCTCTCACTAGCAATGTGCTGATCACAATTTACTTTGCGCCCTCCCCCATCTTTCCCACTTCAGAAGTGGGCATTTCCGTGAACGCTGCACTTTCTTGCTCATGCCACTGCCTGCGATGGCTAAGCCGATTAGTCATTCCTCGTCCCGATAGCAAGTCTCAAGAATCTTTGCTGGTATCTAGCCCATCTGAGAGGTTTGGTCCCTCCAAAAAAAGGGGGGGGTCATCTGCATGCCTGCTCTAGGGCGCGGAATGCCTTGGCTGAGTCCAAGGCAAGGCGCAGGATTCCGGTTGCTTGTACATGGCAGCACACGTCCCCTGGCAAAGAACACACCAAGGCAGCGTGAAAGAGGCAAGACACACGCCAGGAGGAGCGAAGTCTTACCTTCAGCCAGGAGGCGCATTGCATGAACAAAGGACGGGTCCAGGCTGTCCTTCTCTGCCATCAGCTCGGGCAAATATTTCTCCTGCTCCATAGTATCGCTGCTGCTGCTCTGCACTTGGGACCGTCCGCCTGCCCTAGGTGCTGCTCGGATGCAGTGGCGGCTTGGTCAGCTGCTTATTGTTGCCTAATTCCCTCCCCCGCTCTGTGCACCTGGGGTCTCTCTGCTCCGCCGGCACGGTGAACTCCAGCTGGGGTGCCCTGCCCTGCGCTGCCCCTCGCAGCCTCCGCTCGCTCCGTGCGTACCTCTGCCCCTTCCACTGAGCTACAGCCTGGTCCCCGCGGCCTTAACTAGAGAGGCGGGAAGAAGGGGCCCCCCACCTCCCCACCCCGCTCATTGGTGGCTGCGCGCTGGAGGGCGGAGACCCGCAAGGCGGCGGTGCGTTGCTGCTGGCTCCGGCCCCCGCTGCCTGGGCGGCGGGCGGGGTGCGCAGGCTGCGCTCGCTGGCCGAGGTGCTGAAGCAGCTGGGAGGACGGAGCAGCCTGGGCCAGGCGCTGGGGCAGCAGCACCCAGAAGCCGGGGCGGCGGCGGGAGGGGGGCAGGGCCGAGGAGCGAGCGAGGCTTCCTGCGGCTCCCTCACCCCCGCAGCGCGACATAGGACGATTCCCAGTTGTCCCACTGAAGCCCTGTGTCGCCCCTGCCCTCTGGGGGAGCCCGGGTGGTAGGTGGCCAAGCGGGGGCGGCGAGAGGATTTACAGCAGCAAAAGCGCTCCCTACCCCTGACCTTTAGTCCCGCACGGGCGCGGGGAGATGCGCAGTCACAGGAGGGACGGGGAAGTTTGACTGAACCCGGCCGCCCTCTACTCCCAGGAACTTTTTGCGGGTGCCAAGGGGATGCTTCACCTGGCCCAGCTGGGCTTAGCCTTGAGCAGGGAAGGGGGAGGGCGCAGCGCCCTCACCGAGGGAAGAGAAGGCGGCTTGGGTGGCTGTAACCTGGGCGAGAGCAACTCCCCTGAGACTGCGAGCGGCGTGTTAGGAGCAGGGCGCGCGCGGCTGCTTAAACAGGGCAAAACCCGCGGCGTCTTGTGAGCACAGCGGGAGGGACAACGCTCCGGAGATACCCCGCGGCGCGCAGGGAAAGGGAAAGGGAAAGGCGACGCTTCCCTGACAGCGGCCCCTAAAGCTCCCGCCTCCGAGACTTAAAGCTGCTCTGCGAGTAAAGTAGCTGCAGCAAGAGTAAATAAAACGGAATGTATTGTCATTAGAGCTGAACTTGAAGTAAACAGCGACTAGAGCTTATAGTTCTTCACCCCCTCCAAAAATATTAATCGTAGACGCAAAACATGTTAACGCATGGACAAAGATTCCCGGGGCAATTTGAACGTAAATTGCAAGACATGACATTTTCTCAACACTCCTGTGTCGCCTTTTGCTCAGTTTCTACTTTTGATTTAAAATATTCTAATTATATCAGTCAAGTGACCAAACACCCTGGATGTACTAAGCCTGTTGTAGAGTGAGAGAAAGAGGAAGCAAATGTAAAAGTATGGACTGTACATCTATTAGCATATCCCAACGGGTCCTGGAGCCATTATAACCACCATGAGCGAGAAACTTGAGCTATGATGGCATCTATAGCGGAAGACAGATGCAAACGGCGTTTCCACACCTTCCTTGCTGTGTGTTCATAGTTGAGGGATTACACCTGTTTACAAGAATATATTCAAAATGTCTCTCTGGCCCATGCGTTATTGTTTCCAGAGTCTTCTTGAAAATGTTGCATTTATAGAACACGACCCCCCTCCCCATCCACACAGAGTTTGATTCAAAACACTTATGAAACAGGGTAATTCACTGATAATAGGACTGTGTCAACCAGGGTGAGTGATCCAATCAGACTATTTCATATTGAAAAAAAAAGGAGGGGGGAATAGAAGATGAGTTCTTCTCTTTTTAAAAAATAATAATAAATAATAACAATAACAACAACAACAACAATAGCTTAGAACTAAATTGTGAGCCCTTTGCTTCTGTTGGTCACTATTTACCCAAAAAAGTAGTTCTTGATTAGCGTATAGACTTATGGAAGATAGCATTACAGGGTTAATGCTTTATCTAAGGGTATGTCTACACTATGAAATTAGGTCGATTTTATAGAAGTCGATTTTTTAGAATTCGATTTTATAGTCTATTGCGTATGTCCACACTAAGCGCATTAAGTTGGCGGAGTGTGTCCTCACTACCATGGCTAGCATCGACTTACAGAGCGGTGCACTGGGGGTAGCTATCCCACAGTTCCCGTAGTCTCTGCTGCCAATTGGAATTCTGGGTTAAGCTCCCAATACCTGATGGGGCAAAAACTTTGTCGCAAGTGGTTTGGGGTACATGTCAGACCCCTCCCCTTCCATGAAAGCAACGTCAGACAATCGTTTCGCACCTTTTTTCCGGGGTCCCGTCCGCCGGACCCGCTCAGCCCGCTGCCTGCCTGGATGATTGGAACCCCAGGCAGGCAGCGGGCTGAGAGGGGCCGGTGGACGGAGCCCCAGACTGACAGCGGGCTAAGCGGCTCAGGCGCTGCCGGTCTGGGGCTCCGTCCGCCGGCTCCTGCCAGCCGGGGTCCTGCTCAGCCCCGCTCAGCTGGCAGACCTCAGTGAGGTCGATCGAGGTGCCTAGACGGACACGGCTATCCTCCTCTTAGAGCACCGAATGGGAGTGACTCCAGGTCATTCTCTTCTTTAAATTTCATCTCATGGAGATTCAGTCCTGCCTGGAATATCATGCGAGCTGGAGGCTTCTGCCTCAGGCTGCTCTCCCAGCCGTCAGCACTGCGTGGTCGCACCTATCACAGCCTGCCCCTTGCTCCCATGGCTCATGAAGCCTGGACAGTAGTAAGGAGCAGTTCAATTTGTGGAATGACAAATCCAGAACAAAGGATTGCACTCTATGGGCCACGTTAAGATTATTTCAGAGTCCTAGATAGCATTTAGTCCCTATAAAAGGCTTCATGAAAATTTTCCCCTGCCCCTAACAAAAATGTTAATTTATCAGAGCAGCTGAAAGGGTAAGGAACCCGGGACTATAACTTAGAGAAAGCTTCCATATTATTTAACTCATAATTGATATAATTCAAAGTAAAATTTCACAGCGTGGTTTGTTCTAAGACTAAAAATGTAGGAGGGGAGTCAGAAAAAGGAACAGTGAGCTGTTTCCACCCGGTTTCAAACCAGGGCTGTTTCATATGTTAGGTGAACATGATAACCACTACACTATGGGGCTTTTGTGTGTTAGGTGAATGTGATAACCACTACACCATGGGGCTTCTCTTTTTTTGCCACAGACTTTGCTGAATGCACAGGACTGTTTTCTCTAGCTACAGAAGCTACCTAATGCAATGTCTATATCTATGGTCGTCCTGCTCACAAAGCGGTCATGCCCCTGCCCAAGACTGACACAGCGCGGAGGGCATGTGACACAGTGACCTGGTTCAGGCAGGATCGCTAGCGAGGCATGATACTTTTGCCGTTAAGCAAACACAACAATTCTTTCCTGGCCTCTGCCACTGAATGCCTCCATGCATTACGCTGTGTCCTATCAGTGCGGGAGGACTACATGAGCTCGGAAAACATGTCATTGTGAGTGCGTTTTTTTCGCCTTCTAATCTGCTATAACCTCAGGAACGGAGATTATAGGGGGAGCATAGAAACATTCTAGGGGAACTGCATGGTCACCTGTGCTGCTGATTGCTGCTGAGTTCGCCATGCTGGTCAAACAGGAAATGAAATTCAAAAGTTCCCGGGGCTCTTCCTGTGTACCTGGCTAGTACATCTGAGTTCAAAGTGCTGTCCAGAGCGGTCACAATGGAGCACTCTGGGATAGCTACTGGAGGCCAATACCGTCAAATTGCGTCCACACTACACCAAATTCAACCCGTCGATGTCAATTTCAGCGCTAATCCCCTTATCGGGGAGGAGTACAGAAATCAATTTTAAGAGCCCTTTAAGTCGACAAAAATTGGCTTTGTCGTGTGGACGGGTGCAGGGTTTAATTGATCTAACACTGCTAAATTCGACCTAAACTCGTAGTGTAGACCAGGGCTTAGAATGTCACACAGTATGTATAGCTATAAGGCCTTAAATGGCTTAAAACTGGGCTAGTCAATAAATAGGTGGGCCACAGGCCAAATCCATACTACCAGATGCTTTTGAATGCATCCTGCATTTATTATTATCATTGTTATTTTTTTTTCTTTTTTCTAGTGTCTGGACTTTGACTATACCTTGATAAAAAATAATTGACAACCCCTGGCTTAGACCTATCCTATTGAGAGACCATCTTTCTCCTCATGCCACACTGCCACCTTCACATTCATTGGAAAAGCTCAAGCTGGATTCTCCTGATTCAAGAGAGAGAAAGAGGGGTGATAGTAGGGGGCCTTCAGCACTAACCCATGTCCTCCCCACTCCGAAATAGTCCTGGTCTTTTAGCCTTGAGGACACACTGCAGGAGTGACATAGGCAGTGGGCTGCTGCAGAGGGTAAGTTTTGTTGGGAGTTTGATCTGTGATGCAGAGGAGTTGTGTTCTGCTGGCTGTTCAATTTTACTTGTTTCATGTAATTTATGGAAGGGCACCCAAAGCCTTGATGAGATTACTCTTTTGAACTTTTATACCACTCTACATACAATTAAATATTATTGCATATATATATATATATATATATATACACACATATATATATATATATATGCACGTTTAAGGAACCTGTGCAGTAGAAAGAATTGTATTAATTAACACTTGTGTCCATGTAGGGAGTACAGAATAGGTATATATATCTCAAAGTGGCCAGGGGTAAGATGTTCTACAGTCCCATTTTCAAAAGTGACTTAAGACCGTAAGAGCTTAAGTCACATTAATTTTCAATGATACGTAAAATTGCTAAGTCACTTAGAGACTTCTGAAAATTGTACTTTAAATCTCATTTAAAAAAAAAGTCTGTCAGACATGAAATACAGATTTCAGATGACATTTTAATCATGAGGTGTGACTGCTTTGCTAGTTTGGAGCTTGGATGTTCGCTATATCCACTAAAAATCAAAAAATGTATTTTACAT